AACAACAACAAGGATAAAATATCTTGGTATAATATTCAATTAGAACAGTGGGTAAAAACATGTCATCCTTCTTCCACAGGTGTAACTTACACAATAGGATTCTGCCCAATGTTTTTCTTGTTTGATCTCATTGATTTTAAAACCCACATTATGAAGTTGTTGTTACAACAACAGCATATTGCAGTGTAGGCTCAAGAGTTTGCTACATAAGTCAATAAATACTAAAAATGACTGGAATTAATTAGACAACAACAGCATATTGCAATGTGCTCAAGAGTTTGCTACATAAGTCAGTAAATACTAAAAATGACTGGAATTAATTAGTAAGTTCCAACTAGGGTAGGCCAACTGCATTGGTGGAAATTTTGTGAGCCAGCTCCTCTGTAAATGTCATTGATTCAGTAGGCCTCTCTAGTTATGACTTTCTGCTGGATTTAACCAATGGGCTCTATCCCTCATTCTGCTAGTGGAAGAAGTAAAAGAGTAGATGTTGCACTTTTGCAACTACTATCAATACAACCAGTGCAAGCAACACTTGTTTCATTGAATAAAAACAGTCTGTATAGTTAGAATCTAAAATATAGCATTTGATACTTGCTCAGGGCTAAAGTAATGTTCTGCAAGCAGTAGAAGCTTTGCAGTAATGGAGCAATACCAATGAGTACCACCAACTCACTAAGCTGATCAGTAATTTTGTGAGTTGTGAGTATATTATGATGACAATGTTTTAAGTTCTCCATAAACAGTATAGAAAACATTTCCTGAACAAATTTTATTTTCTTCTTCAGTAAAGCTGTATTACTCTTTGGTGGGAAAAAAACAACAGCAATGTGATGAATATGAGGCCAAGACAGCATCTAGTTTATTGAAGACACTGGCTGCCCTATGTAGTCTAAGAGTGAGTATAATACTCTAGAATGAGAAACAACAGAATTATACTCATGTATATAATGGGAAATCTGTTTATTATTAACTTAACAACTTTATTATTTACCAAGTGATAGCAATTCTTTTGTCCTACATATTTGATAAATCTACTTTTTTATTTACACAGAGGAGGGGTAAGAGAAAAACTGTCTATTTTAATACTTTACAGATGTAACTTTTTTGTCAGATCCAGTTATGTTAGTTTTCACAACACACCTTCAAACATAGTACTGGCTAGCAGCAACATGAGATAGGGGCTGAATTTTGGCCTTGGCTAAATCTTCTGAAACAACTTGCATCATGTGTTCTGTGGTTTTCTTCAAGCTGTCTGCAGTTTGTAAAACATGATCCAAAGTGGAGCTTAATGTCTGTTAAGGATAAACACTTGTTTGAAAATCAACATTTTTGATCTTAGCAAAGACCAAAGGCCCACTTGAAAAATATTTAAATATCGCATTGCCAATACTCCCTTCTTACCTTTGCATCAGTGTCCTCACCATGTCTGTTTCTCAGATTACTTGCTGACCTCCCTCCATGGATGTGCCTGCGACTGAGGTACTGTGGTGAAAGGATAATGGTATCGTACATTCTTGAATAGCGGGTTTGGGGAATGGGTAGATTTTGCCTATGAAGTAACAAGAAACACAATTCAATGATTTCCTAATAATGCAAGACATGGGTGGGAGACTTACAAGACAAATTACATTCTGGGTTTTCATATGTAAAGTGCAGGAATGCGTTTTGAGCAAGGCAGTTCTGTATATGGTATCATCGTTTTCCTACACGCACAAAAACAACAAAAAATGCTTAATCAAAAATTCGAAATGTTGGAGGCCTTAACACTTTAGTGTTGCTGCAAAGAGGAGGGCTAACCAATACAGAGAATTACGGCTTCACAGAAGTAAAACAGTAATATGGCTGGATTTATAAATGGGCTTGTTTGGCTTCAATTGTCTGTATTAGAACACATAATCTTCCTTACCTATCACACAGTCTGTCTATAAACTCTTCTGGCTGTTTATGTGCAGAAATCCTTTGAAAGGCCACATCTGTCTTGTGTAAAGATGCTGAAATTTGGAAAACAGTAGTAAGATACTGTGAAGAAGGATTGTTTAAAGAAATTAAATGTGAAAGTGAGCCGTCCCCTCCTTCTCTTCAAGCAGAAGAGATCAACAGAGAACCAAGTGTTTTACGTATGGGAATTCAAAATACAGTGTAAATTTGGCACTGGTTCAAACCACAGAAGGAGAAGAGAGGAGAACAGTGGGAGTAGGACAACCAATAACAGAGGGTCTCTTAGTAATGGAGGAATGGGAGGAAAAAGTGGGAATATGAAGGAGTTGGGGTCATTAACGAGTTTAGATGCGGTAGAGGAGGAAGAGAAAAGGAAGGAGGATAACAGAAGGAGAACACAGTGAGTGTAAGATTGAACAAAGGCATGATCCGAAGAGTGGATCAAAACCTTATATATCTGAGTTACCCCAAATCGAGGAGGAAGGTTTTGAGAGAGGAAGGAAGTCTATTTTAGGACCAGTCCCAAGGAGAACAGAGGTTCAATTGGGAGAGCTGGAACCTTTAGAATGGACAGTATACCTCTACCCAGGGAGGAAGGGTCCCTGGAAGAAGGCGGTACGCCCGGAACCTATTCCCAGTGGAGCGACCCCACACGAAAGGGATTGGGCCAGACACCTGTGCTGTGGGACCATCTGTGCGGTTTGTAGTACACCTATGCGAAGACCAACCAACCGGGAGAGATTTGGGATGGCGCCACGTTGAGAGAAACAATTGTAAATAATGATTCTGATAGTATGTGGAACAATTTACCTTTGTTTGATAGTCCTGTTGGACCTACCAAAGTTGTAATTCACCCCTCCCCTCCTCCCAATACAAAAAGTTTGGTTAAAGAAATTCCATCTCCTGTAATCTCTCATGTAGAAAGAAGGGAACTGTTAGTCTCAAAAAATGAACCCGATCACAGGTATATACAGACGAGGGACCTGCTCCCAGCACTATAAGTTTGAACTATAAAATGTAGCTGTTTTACCTACTTTCTTAGAGAAGGCTTTGAAGGAAATACTATAATCCTTTGCTAGGAGAGTGAACTTTACAGAGGAGTGTGGCTGTATATGGAAAAGCTTTTGGTCTACCAATGTGGAGTCTTAAGCTGCAGGACCGCATAACTCCCATCACTCTCGTCATCTCTAATGTGATAGGACAATCATGCTGCTTGAGTAAGAGCGTAATTATTCTACAGCAAAGGTGGATTGTGTGTGCATGTGTACAAATGTGTTTACATGCAGATTTGTACCGCACATGCACAGACAATGGAAGCTTCCTGATCTCTATATAGTACACATATGTAAGCCATCTTGTAATGAGTTCTCTGGGTGGCAAACCACAAACATAAAAAAAGATTTAAAATAAAACGTGGGACCCTACAATAAAAATAATCATAAATATAGAATAAATATAAATATGGTTGAAGGCAGTCTTTCTGGTGAACTTGTTCCTCAGAGCCATTTAAGGTTTAAAACCACACTTTGACCCTGAAATAGATTGGGAGCCAATGCAGCTAACAAGAGTATAAGCATAATAGGGTAAATCATTCAGTCCCAATTACGTAGCAGTCTTTTATCTCTAGCTTGGACCAACGGTAGTTTCCAAAACGTAGCCTCCTATATAATGCATTGTAATAACCAAAATGTAGGCTACTAGAGAATTGGTTATAGTGGGCAAGGTCTTAAATCAGCTGCTGGGAGAACTGGGTAGCTCCACCAGCCACTCATGGCTACGTATATACGGGGACAGAATGCTGTGTTGTCAATAGCATGAATTTACTTCCTGATTGCCATACAGTATTTTGTTTGTTGCTACTTGTAATATTTCTGTATTCTCTTTTTACAGTTCATATTGGTCATGTGAAATGTACCAGTTTAAATATATTATTTTTACAGTTCCACCGAGGCTAGTGCTACAGAGGGCACAGCATAGAAGCTGGTAATAACTGGGGATGGGATTCATATAAACACCAAAGGGCGGGGGGGGGAAGGCTCATTGATTTTTTTTTAACAAGCCTCAAGCACAAATGATTTGTTAGAATGAAAGGGGTACATTGAAATTTTGTCTTATTTCATTATGCTTTCTTTCTATTACCATTTCTTTCACATTTTGTCTGTGAAATAGCCTGATAATTTTTTCATTCAGTGGTGTTCTGAGGGCTGCTATCAGCGGCCAATGAGAATATCCAGGGGCAGAAATTTTGAAATGGTCAAAGTGCCTTGATGGATTGGAACCCATTGAAGGGCGTGTTTTGCTTCAGTCGGTGGGTTTTTAAAATTATTTTTCTTTCTCATATGCTATTGCTTGTTTTGGAGGAGACTGATTCCTCTGCTGCCTTGCCTCTCTGTTTTGTTGGAGTTGTTTTGAAGAGTTCTTTAGGACTTTGGACTGATTCTCTGTTGCCTACATTGCCCCTGCTTTCTTGATCATTTTAAAGAGTTCCTTCTTTTGGATGACTTCCAGATAAAACACAAATGCGGGCAAAACGAAACAGAATAACCCAAACCCATTCATGTTTAACTTAAGGACCGCTACATGAAACATACAAAAATGAAAGAGACTCGCTCCCCCAGAAGCTGAAATGAAACAAAAATTGAAATTTTCATAGTGCACATCCACACTGATGGCAGTGTTGGATCCAGTAGATTCAGTAGGATTACCCTGCCCTGGAAAAGGCCATCCTGCAGAGCAACTAAGCTAAGCTTCTGTCCCCAGACCAAGTTTGAAACCCAAGTGAAACATACTAAGATAATCAGTTTCACTGAAGAGTGACTAGAGTGGCTACCCTGTCTTCATCACCTTGGCCAGGAAAGGTGCTTACCACAGATATATAATTTGCAGGTACAGAGTGGGGTTCTTTTGAAGCAGTTAAATTATGGCTTCTTCTTTTTCTATTATGCAGCCTCGCAGGCCTAATAATCACCCACTTCCACTTGATTTAATGAACAACAAAGTACAAGAATGGAGCATTCATCTGACCAGGAGATGTGAACCAAACACGTTGCTGACATTCTTAGGTTTGAATAATCAAATCCATCCAACACAATTGGACTATGCTCTGAACATGTTCACTAATGAAACTCCACTAATTGTGGAATTCACATCATTAACTGACTCTGAATACTTTCCAAGAGAAAAAGAAAAGAGAGAGAATCTCTCATTAATCAGTTACTTAATTTGACCTTAAAGAGTGCAATACGGATTTAACGGTATAGCATGAGTGCATGATTAGAAAACTGGAACGATAAGAAAACAAGGACATCCTTCCATAGGTAAAAAGCCATTTGAAAGGCCTGGACATAGCAAATGTTTGGGAATATTTACTAATCTGCTACTTGTCATTTTCTCTAAAATAATTATGTATGTTGGCATGGAAAATAATTTTCCTATGTGATAAGATGGTTGACATAAAAACAGAAAGGGGAGAAGGGTAACCCATCACCAGTCTATGTTTCAGTATGTATTATAACCAGTCTGAATTTATCATAAACTCATAGAATCGTCATAGGATTGGAAGAGATCTTGGAGGTCTTCTAGTAAAAACCCCTATCCAAGACAGGAGACCTCGATTTGCTTGTAGAAACAGCCAGTTTTTCTACATGAATACTATAAATCTTCAATGACTATGTGATAAGTTATCCAAAAATCTAAATCTGTATGTGTTTTAACATGTAAGGATCAATAATACAATGCAAATAAGTGGTTCTACAGGAGGACAACCCCTTCATGGATTGTCGTGACGAAGGGGGTTGAGTAATTCAGAGAAGCTATGGGCTATACCGTGCAGGGACACCCAAGATGGACAGGTCATCGTGGAGAGTTCTGACTAAACATGATCCACTTGGAGCAGGAACTGGCAAGCCACTCCAGTATCTTTGCCAAGAAAATTCCATGGACAGAAACAAAAGCCTAACAGATATGATGCTGGAAGATGAGCCCCTCAGGTCGGAAGGTGTCCAACATGCTACTGAGGAAGAGCAGAGGACACGTACAAGTAGCTCCAGAGCTAATGAAGTGGTTGGGCCAAAGCCGAAGGGACTCTCAGCTGTGGACGTACCTGGAAGTGGAAGGAAAGTCCGATGCCACAAAGAAAAATACTGCATAGGAACCTGGAATGTAAGTTCTATGAACCTTGGTAAGCTGGAGGTGGTCAAACAGGAGATGGCAGGAAGAAACATTGACATCCTGAGTGTCAGTGAAATAAAATGGACGGGAATGGGCGGATTCAATTCAGATGATTACCATATCTACTACTGTGGGCAAGAATCCCGTAGAAGAAATGGAGTAGCCCTCATAGTCAACAAAAGAGTGGGGAAAGCTGTACTGGGATACAATCTCAAAAATGATAGAATGATTTCAATACGAATCCAAGGCAGACCTATCAACACCACAGTAATCCAAGTTTATGCACCAACCACCGATGCTGAAGAGGCTGAAACTGACCAATTCTATAAAGACTTACAACGCCTTCTAGAACTGACACCAAAGAAATATGTTCTTCTCATTATAGGGGATTGGAATGCTAAAGTAGGGAGTCAAGAGATCAAAGGAACAACAGGTAAGTCTGGCCTTGGAGTTCAAAAAGAAGCAGGGCAAAGACTAATTAGAGTTTTGTGTCTTTTCCAACAACACAAGAGGCGACTCTACACATGGACATCACTAGATGGGCAATACCGAAATCAGATTGATTATGTTCTCTGCAGCCAAAGATGGAGAAGCTCTATACAGTCAGCAAAAACAAGACCTGGAGCTGATTGTGGCTCTGA